TTTGGGGTTGAGGGCTTGGGGTTCAGGCTTCGGGGTTTAGGGTCTTTAGGTTTCTTGGTGTGTTTTGGGTGTAAGGTTCAGGGCGTAGTAGTAGTAGTAGCAGTAGTAGTAGTAGTAGTAGTAGTAGTAGAAGCTTCTCGGCTCCTCGCTGTGAGGGGCGATGCCAAAACAGGTGGGGCCCTCTTTCGAACGTACGCTCTGTAGAAGGCCCAAGGGTACGAAGAGAACTGACTGTGCTGCGTGGGGGTCGGGGCAGCACTAATGCCATGGATGTGGCTCCGCTTTTTCTGGGTTATCTACACGGCTGTAACAAGATACATGACTGGCACCTGGCAGCGCGACCCTTGGCTTGTTCCGTCTGCCGGGCACATGCAACTGAACTTAGAGCCGATCGCCAAGTCAGACAGCAATTCCTGCGTATGGTGCTGCTGGCCATGTTCGACAAAGCTGGTGGATATCGACAGGACCACAGATACTTTGATGACTTTGAAAAACATTGGTTCAATCAAGATCCTGAACAAGTGGAGCAAGCAGCCAAAGCATCTTTATATGCACCTGATCTTATGGGAGTGCAGCATTGGTGCCGACGCACCTATCCAGCCTTGGCACATGAGTTGTGGACACCATGGACTATCGGCAAGCTCTGCTGTTGTAGCATGGCCCTGCATACCTTGGACAAGTCAGGACCTTACACAGTTCCCTACCTGGCACCACCCAAAACCTTTCTCTGATCGATTGTGCCCAGGTAGATGGTTCAGCAGAAGAAAGCTTAAACGGCAGGCTCTGCGATCTAGGAAGTGCCGACACCGGAAGCCCCGACCATGCCTACTGCAGGTTCGTGGCCTTGTGTGGCTGGACTCCCTCTATGCTGTCGTCCTCGACTGGTGCGCCTTTCAGTATCTTAAGGGGGTTCGTTGGGCTCATAACCAGTTCTTTGGCGGACCTCTGCAGTTCGTTGTCAACCATGCTTCTGCACAGTGTCTACCCTGGGATGTGTGCCAGCAATACCAGTGCTGCTCCGTGCCGCAGCTTTGGATGCAGAATGTTCTTGCCCACTCCTGTGCAATTCCCACCCACGGACGTTGCAACCCTAGTGCCTCCCTAAGTGGTGTAGGAGCTAGTGTTCACAACCCCTCTAGGCCTCTTCGGTTTAGGCCCCAAACCCGCCTTCTGGTGCTGTCGCGGCTGGACCGCCACTCCACCATGGCTCATGCAGATCGGGACCCCCTGCACGACGACGCCTTGGAGGAAGCTGTGCTCGATACCCGAGCCGACGATGCAGTTGAACACGAAGGGTCCGGTTCAGAACATGGCTCTACAGACTCTGCTTTCTCAACCCTGACAGCGGCTTGTGCAGCTGCAGATAGATCTCCAAGTGTTGATCGGGGCCCTGGCCCATTCGGGCCTCCGCCTCCTGTACCAATACATGCTTGCCCGGCTGAGACAGATCCTGCTGCAAGGCTGACTAGGGCTCTGCCGGGAGCCATGCCTGGAGAGAACACCCCGGCGGGTGCACATTGGAGACGAAGCTTAGCATGCAATGTGATGCAACACCTGCAGCTGACAGGACCTGTGTACCTGGAAGCACCGCATACCCTTCGGGAAATTCATACCTGGCGGGCAGTTCGTTTGATTTTATCGGAGGCCGACGAGGTAGACGAGGCTGGTGAGCGAATCGACTTCCAGGATGCTGACAATGCACTATTCGGGGAACCACACCCTGCAGCTGGCATTGGGTCCATGGATGGTGATCCTTCCCACGAGCACGCCGAATCAGCCCCAACAGAAGATGATGAGGAGCGGGATGCGGATGTGCCGTCGGAGCCTCCCTCGCCGGTGCCTGGTCCTCCAGCCCCTGTTCGACATCCAACCTGGGACCCACCAAGCCATCGGGAAGGAGGACTCTATGAGTGCGATGGTGTGCAGTTCAATCTCACCGAGGCTGAGGCATGTCTTGAGGCCACCAAGGCCGAGCTTCGTCGTAGACGAGCTGCTGCACAAGGGGCACTGGGCTCTGGAGAGCCTGCCAGCGGAAGCAGACGGCCAACGACGCCTCCTATCTCGCCACCCGGGTCGAGCACAAGCCCGAGCCCTCGCTCTGCTTCGCGCTCACGATCTAGATCAGGCCGACCTCCACCCGACAGCAGGCAGGCAGATGGGATGCAGTATGCGGGATGTGTAATAACACCTTTAGGGTCCACGGCCTTAAGTCCTACCCGACCTGTCCCCCTCCCTGCATGCAGCATTGCCACAGGTGACACAACCAGCCAAGTCCTGAATGCACACACTGCCTGCTCAGGTTGCCTCACTTATAGCTCTGTACCACAGCCAAAAAGGCTTTTGCCTGAAAAGGCGTCAATGCACCGACTCGGCACTCTTCCAAAGATCGGCAAAACACGCCTTTGGGCAGTGAGTGCATGCACTGCATCGACTGTCTCCGCCAACTTTGATGACAGCCCACCTTCCCTGGAGTCAACTGGCACACCTGTGCAACCTTCCCAGCTTTGCAGGTACACCCGTGCTGCGGCCATTGAGCCCCTCATTCAGGCCTGGCTCCCGCTTGCAATTTGGTTTGCCTTCCTTGTCCCACACGTGCTCCGCCTCACCTCCAGTGTCCGTTTTGGGCCAAGGCAATGCACTCGTGTTGGCACATGCACCTCCCCGGCCTCCCACTCAGAATTTGGCTGTGCACCCCCTCATCAAGCATCAGTGCCAAACGCCGACCCGTGCCCAGGTCGACAGGCTTCTCCTCAGGCATCGCCATCACTCGTACATACCAGCCGCCTGGGTCCCAATTCCCAGGGTCTCACTGGTCTGCACTTGCTCTTCCTGCTCCTTCGCATCATTATCCAACCAGCCTGTGCAGGCAGTGGGGCAGAAGCGAGGGTTGTGGTCCCAGCTGCCGGGACCGCTGAAGGTGCATACTCACCTCAGCACATTGACTTTGCGCCGAAGCTAGGCAGCCTCCCGATTACTTCCAGTCCGACTCCCAGTACTGCTCTCAAACGGTGTGTCAAACGATCTTTTCGACGTGCCTGTATGAGAGCCATGACACAAGGAACCACGACCTATCGTGGCCGCGCCTTCAAAGCACAAGAGGTCCCTGACTCCGTTCGTCAGTCATTTGTGTACAGTAGACCTCAGCCCCGAACACGTCAGAACCCTGGCCGTGGTCTTCGACTCTTCTGCTGGAATGCAGGTGGCCTGGGAGGCGGCTTGTATCCCGAATTACTCACTTTCTTGGACAACTCTCAGTATGATGTTGCCGTGATTCTCGAAAGTAAGTGGCAGGAGTGTATGGAGTACACTACTGGCCAATGGTCTTGCATTCATTCCGGGTGCAAAACCAGGAAGCAGGCAGGAGTGCTCATTTTGGTGCACCACAGGCTTGCCCCTCCTTCACAATTACGGTTCGAGCATATCCTGCAAGGTCGCTTGCTGCACGTGCGAGTGCCCCTCCCAGGCAAGGACTCCAGACACATTCACCTTGTCGGAGTGTACCAGAAAGCATACGATCAGAAGACAGCCTCCCTTGAACAACGCCAGCAGGTCTGGCAGGCCATTGATCGCTGCATGGCCCGGATCCCTGCTAGGGACTCGTTAGCCCTCATGGGGGACTTCAACACCCCACTCAAGCCTAGTGCACCTCATGTAGGAATGTAGGAGCTCACACAAATCCGCTCCCGTGCCATCCCCCGGAGGACATGGATGACTTCATGGCATTGCTTGCTACTTATGATCTTGTTGCCTTGAACACATGGAGCAGGACCATGGACAAGAAATTGCCCTCAACCTTCAGATTCCAGGCCACTGAATCTCAGATTGACTTCATCCTGACACGTCGACCTGATGCCACACACCAGGCTCGCCGCGCTCGAGCCTGGCGAAACTTCCACGTGGGTGCCTCGAGGCACAGTGGAGCAGTGCACTTCCCATTGCAGGTCACTGGATACGACAGCCAACACAGGTCAGACCTAGCATCGATCGAGATGCTCTGCTGCAGGCCCTGGACCATCCCACAGAGCCCCAGCACCTTGTGCAAATTGCTTCCATTCGTCAGGCGGTTGCCAACCACATGGCCTCCTGTCCTGGCCTTCCAGGAGTGAGCACCCTACATCGTTCTTTGTTCCAGGTGTGCTCCGATGTCTTCCCAGCACAGGCGAAACCCAAATCCCTACACACCTGGCAGGCTGCAGAAGTTCAGCATGGTGTCAAGAGCATGTGGCGTCAATGGCGGGCCTTCAAAAAGATTCGCAAGAATGGTCTCCAAGGCTGGTTCGCTGCTTGGAAAGCCTGGCGTTCCTTCGACAAACACTATCGCGAGCACCAGCTCCGATGCCGCCAGGCCCGTCGCTCAAAACTCCTCAGTGCCATGGAGGAAGCACAGCAGTGTGCCCACCGCCACGATTCGCGTGGCCTTTATCAGATTGTCAAACGAATTGCCCCCAAGCAACCTTCAGGCGAATGCAGCTCCGGGACTCTCAGGGTCTCATGATGTCACCCAGTGCTGAGGCCGACCTGCTGCATAAGCATTTTCAACAGCGCTTCCGCGCCGAGACACAGGACCCACAGGATCCTGACATGATCCACCTGGCCGGCCCCTGGACCTTGCATCAGCCTCTTTCTCTTGATGCCACCGCCCTTTGTGGTGCCTTCCAAACCATCCCTCGCAGGAAAGCAGTGCCTGATGGACACCCCCCGAGTGCAGCCTGGCGCCTATGTGCAGACATGATTGCACCCTGGATCTGCGACACACTGGCTGAAGCATGGATCGGAAAACCCATTTTCGTGCCACAAAGTTGGTCTGATGTTGATTTAGCTCTGATCTTGAAACCAGAGAAATCTGGGCACAAGCCTAATGACTATAGACCCATCGGACTCTCCTGTCCGCTTGGTAAAAAAATCCTAAGATGCATCCTTGAACCCCATGTGGATTGCATTCTGGCCCAGATCCGTCGCTACCCTCAATTTGCTTATCAGCAGGGCAGGTCACAATACGATGCACTCAGAAAAGTCTTTACACATTGTGCCATGGTTCGAGCAGAACTCAGCAAACACCACAAAAATTTGCATCACCAACATGCGCGCACGAAGCCGGTCCCCCTACTTGGCAGTTTGATGATTACGGTAGATCTTTCCCAAGCTTTCGACAAAATGCCACGAGAGCTCCTTTACCAGGGCATGGTCAACCTTCAGCTGCCAGCTGACTTAATTGCCGTCATCATGGCTTGGCATGCACACATACAATATACCGTTCACCACTCAGGTGAAAGCCGCACCTTTGATGCCACGAAAGGCATACGTCAAGGTTGTTCTGCCTCGCCATTGTTATGGCTGATCTTTTCCCATGCCATCAGTTGTCGCTTGAAAGGCTACATCTCCTATGAAAGAATCTGCGCCATGCTTACCATTTTCGCTGATGATTACCATGCAGCAGGGACCTTTTCCTCGCTGCATGAGCTCGAACAGCTCTTAAGCTGCATCACGGCTCTTTTTAAGGTCCTCAAAGCATTCGGTATGGAGGTGAGTGATGCCAAATCACAAGCAGTGCTGGCCCTAAGGGGATCGCTGGGACCTTCAATCCGTCGGAAGTATGTCTGCAAAGGCCCTGACGGCCCCATTCTTCGCATACCACTTCTCAGTGGCAGTCTCAGAATCCCGATCGTCCCACAGTTTCGGTACCTAGGCACTCAGATTAACTACACCTCGTTTGAGAATGCCACGCTTGAGTTCAGGCTCCAAAAAGGAGATGCAGTATACCGTCGACTTGGCACCATCCTGAAAGGGAAACACTACCTTAGTGAGGGACAGAGAGTTCGCTTATGGTGCGCATGCATTTGGACGACACTTTCATACGGTCTGATAACATGTGGGGTCACCCCCGCTGGACATCGGCTCCTAGAGACTAAAGTTGTTCGTCAACTTAGGGCCATATTGCGGCTTCCTGTGCATCTGACCTACAAGACAAACACCGAAGTCATGCAGCAGGCTGGGCTGCAACTCCCTAGCCTCATGTTGGTGTCTCTGCTGACGCGGGAAGGACAGCGCAAGCAATCCACTTTGGATGCACATGTGTGTCTGCCGACCAGCTCCTGGTGGAGCACAGTGATGACCAGCCTCCATCATATGCCGGAATCCTCACAATTGATCTCGGTACCGACCCCTGCCCAACCCCAGACCTGTCCTGAATGTGGGGTTTCATATGGCACTCGTGCTGCACTCTTGACCCACTTAGCGAAATGCCACCCGGAGAAGGCTGCAGCCGCACCCCCTGAACCCTATCAAAAAACTTTAGACTCGCTAGGAGGATTACCCCAGTGCTCGCATTGCAAAAAGAAGTTCTCCACCTGGCAACTTCTCAGACGACATGTTGAGGGCAATTACTGCAGTGTGAGACACTCGTTCCTGCCACAACCCTCGACAGCGCCTGAACAGCCAGTGCAGCCCGTACCGCCAGTCTTTTCAGACACTCCGATTCAGCAACTCCTTCACACGTATGCTGCCAATGCTGTTTTTCATATTTCGCATAAACAGCGGTACAGGCAACACTGCCTGGTGTGTGGACAGTGGGTTGCCTCCTCCAAAGTCATGAAGCTACACTACCAACACAGCCACCAGCAACTCATGCAACAACACAATCACAAAACGCCTGCCTTGTGTGCATCATATACAGGCTGTGGGAACCCGTGCCTATACTGTCACGTGTCAGTTGCCATCCCCAGACTGCATAAGCTTGCCTGTCCTGTTCTGTGACAATTCTGTCTCAGCTTTGCTGCAACTGATGGCGGCCCTGGATCAGGAGATAAAGGAAGTCTTCGGAGACCTGGCTCAGAACAGCCTTCAAGGTTTCGGCGATGCACTGTTCGGAACGGGGAGCCCACCTCCGAATGTGGGACCTCCCACCAAAGCAGCCAAGCTGGAGGGTGCACCGGGCAAGCGCCAACGGCCCTCAGACAACGGAAGCTCACCTGGTTCCAGCGGTCAGTGGGGCAACAACAAGGGCCGGGGCAAGGGCAGCAAACAGCAGCCTCAGCTTCATGCCCTGGTGCATGCCATGGGAAGACTCATCATTCGGCAGGAGACACAGCTCCAAATCCTGAAGCAGAACTCAGCCTGGACCTTGTACCTCAGGCCGGGCCCTTCGGGGCCAGTAGCTCTACTGTACAAGACTGCCGAAAAGTACAGAGAGGAGTCGAAGACGAAGTTCATGGATACCCCGGTTCGGGCTGTGCTCCTTCACACGCTGTTCCAGGCCCTCCTAGGCTCTCTTCAGGACATCAGCAGCAGCCAGGAGAAGCAAAAGGTGCTCCAAGAGAAGGGTTGGCTCAACCAGGACGGGCTCTGGAACTATCAGAGGTGGGACGGGGAGCAGCAAACTCTGGTGATCGACGAGGCACGCCCGCCTGTGAATCATCAGGACTTGATTGGCAAAGTGGGTCAATTTGCCGAAATAGTCCTGAACAAGGATGTCATACACAGGTTCAATGCGACGCACTCCTTATCAATGGCCAAGACAGGCACCAGCACATTTCTGCTGGAGGTGGGGCTGAGAGCACAGGGAGTGGAGCTGGCATGGGCAATCCTGGAGGCGATCTCAGGCCTTTCGGCTCTTCAGGTGATTGGACTACAAGTCCGGAGAGAAGGCCTTCGCCGTGGGGGCCTTGCCAACGAGGTACAGAAGCTTATGAATGCATCTGCAGGCTGGAGTTGCATAACCCATCCAACCAGTGCTACATGAATGCTTTTGCCTACATGTACTTATGGTGTCAATCGGCTGGAGGCTCCTGAGTATCAACTTTTTGGTGACAAGATTCAGGCTTGGCGCGACATTTTATATACATCTCAGCGGCCACTCACAATCAGCAGGCTACCTTCTTGGAGAAGCTTGTTGAAAGGATGGAGGCAGCCAGCCTCCCAGCATGATGTCGTGGATTTCATGGAGCATGTTTTTCGTATTATGTTGCCACCTCAGCTACAATATTCCTGGGAGGCTAGACTGGGTACACCGCAGGGTATTGTTTGTCAGGACCGAGGCCTTCTTTCTTCTCCTGTTGTTATGCACCTGGACGCGACACACAGTAGCTTGCAGGACTGCATCAATGCGTGGAGTCATCAGGCTCACCCCCATGCCCTGTCCACGGCTGCCAATGTGCTCATCATCCAACCGGCGAGGTACCGCTGCAGGGGAGGCT